CACGATATTCTAATTTTTCGAGTTTCACCTGTAGAGAGATCTATAAGTCTATAAAATTATATCTGTTGTGAATGTAGTTTCCAATGCAGATCCCCTCAGGCAGAGTGTAGACATTCCCAATCTACATATTCACAAGGGAAAAACGCTCACATACACCTACGGGATTATTCTGGCCCTTCCCTCTTTGCTGGAGAAAAGAGCATTTTGAGTCATTTTAAAATCCGGCAGAACTCCATAAGCTGTGGACTGAGACAAGGAAAAAGGGGCTCATGTGACTTTGCAGACCTGATTACAGTGTGGATGTGCCTGGAACCCAGGGGATGTCCAGCTAATTGAGACAGGAAATACCTACTTCATGAGGATTCTGATTCTGAATAAATTTAGCCAAGAATCTTCAGTAAGTTTAATATCTTTTCTTGTGTGCTGATAAGCCTCCTGTCTTTATTTCTCTATATAAATTATAGAATTAGGTGTTTAAAGCTCAGTCCTTATCTAGTCTTCAGTCTGGACATCAGGATAATTTTAGTGTAATTTGTATTGATTTCTTGAATCTTCTGTCTTTGTTTATGAAGTTTCTGGTTGTGAGAACAGGCACCATCCTGTGGTCTAGTTAGAGCGTAGCATTTGGCTTTTGTATCTTCTCTTCAACTGAGTTGTAAGCTGTATCACTATGCTCTGAATAGCTGTTAATTAGCTCCTTACTATTGAATGTTTGCCTTAAAGATTTTAAGGTTAAAAAGATTTTATATTTTCTTTTTCTTTAATAAACTTTGATTTTATTTATTTCTTGTGAGATTGGTCTATCTCCCAAAGAGGGAAGGAAGGGCTGGATCCTCTAGCCAAATGCATATAAGCTACATGGCCAGGAGGTTGCCTAATATAAATTATTTCATTCCCCCACCCCAATTTTTCCCTTTTAGTTATAGAAACATAGCATAAGTGGTAACAATCCTATGTCTCTAGCACCACCATGTTTGGGGGAAAGATACCAAGTGAGTCACTCAGTAGAAGATAAATGGTATCATTGGGAAGTACCAATCCACTATCCCCAAAGTAGGAAGATGGAACTGGGATGTGAAGTCTAGAAGAATTTCAGGAGAGGCAGGCCTCTGGCTTTCCACCCTATAGCTTAGCTATGTCACTATTCTAAATGCTTTATTTAGATCCTCTACAAAATTAGTCCCCCTTTGCGCTTATTTTAAATAGATTTGAGATTAAATGTAGGAAGTTCTTTATGCAATTTATTAAAAGGATTGCTCTTTCCACAGCAAAATGAATAGATGAGTTACATATCTCAATATTGAAATAGATTATTTTATTCTAAAATTCCAGTTATGACAATGGGCTGCATAGCAATTTAGAGCATATAGACTGAACTCCATATGATCTCATTTTATTAACATATGTATACTACCATGCCTCATGAGAATATCCAGTTGCAAATACCTTGTTAGAAGTAAGATACTTCCGCCCATCCCAAGCAACTAAATCCATGCTGTTTAAAAAATATCTTCTTTAATTTTTTAACATCCTCAGTTAACAGCATTAAAAGGTTATCACAAATTTAAAAACTAATTTGGTGACTTCTTAATATGCCATGTTCTTTTTGTGCACCTAACTGCGACACTGGTTAAAGAGAAAAATCCAGTTTAGAAATTACAGCTATGAACTACTTCAGTAATTGTAAGAGAATTCTAGGTTTACCTAATTAAGAACAAACAGCCATACGTGAGCACTCAGTGATCGGGGGAGTATGCTCAAAGGTGTTCATACTTAGTTAATGTAGCTTTACAAAGAGGATTTGTTTCACAATGGTGGCCTTTTCATATAAGGAAATAATTTAAAAGTTAAGATGGTTTATTTCCTGAGCCTTGAAAATAACATTGTTCTTACTTATAATTACTTTCTCTATTTTGTTCTTGCCTCTAGCATATACTATAACTATTTGTGAAGTTTACTTATGTGTCTATCAGTGGCTGAGACATTGCTGGTAATTTTCTTTGAAGGCTGAAAGACACAACATAGACCAAAGGGGATTTTTTGCTTTGTGCTTGCTTCCATTTTCCTAGATATGATGGAGTTTAAGTCATACCTAAAAGAAGAAAAGAGTCATTCTCTTTTCTTCTTCTGTTTCTCTTAGTAACCAGGTAACACAGCTCCAGGTATGTATCTGGTGGCTTGGTCTCCTAATAAACACACCACTTAATAAAAGCTAGTTCCTCTTTCTGTCTTTAGTAGCAACACCGTTTTAACACTGATGATTGAATGGTCAGAACAATTTCCCCTTTCTCATCAGTATAATCCTGCTCAGCTTCGAGAAGGAAAATGAACAGGACTTACCCGCAGGTAATCAGCCATCCCTTTAGAATAATTATATGAAAAGTCTAATGTTACCACTATTGGATTAAAATAATAATTTTTGTTTTCTATAAACAAATTCCAGACAAGGCACAAATACTGGCATGTCATATGCAGTTACTTAATAACAGAAAATTGAATTAAATATAAGAATAATTGAATATTTATGATACTTACTTGATTCTCCAAATATGCACAATGTGATAGGATGCAGTATTTTTTTTTATTTATTTCAGTTATTTTGCTTGTATCCCACCTTTTCTCTGAGAGCTCAAAGTAGCTTAGTTAGAAGTTTTCCCCAATTTTATACCAGCAATAATACCCTGTGTAACATCCCCAATACACTTCATGGTTGAGCAGCCTCCTGGTCCAAATCTATAACCTTAATTGATGTAGCTACTAAAGTAGTTACTCACTTTAAAGATTTTGGCTCAATATTTATTTTATTTTTATTAATTATAGAGTGTTGATACGGCTTCATTGGGTTCAGCAAAATCACATCTCACTGATAAGAAAGGTAAAAAGTTCTAAATACTTAGTGACAAAGTACTAGATGCTTAATATATATAGTGAAGTGACATTTTGAAAGAGAGTAGAGAATACACAAAAACAGGCAAACACACACACCTAATGTTGCCATGTGGAATCTTTACAGTTTTGAATTAGAAAGTTGTTAATAGTGTATAATTATGTTAGAAACAGAAAATGCTACCCATTCAAAAATGACTTACCATAGGTTACAACTAGAAAATGTATATTGTGAAATTTGGGACAGAGAGAGGTGTCATTGCTTAAATTCATATTAAATATTAATTCAATTAATTTAATAAAATACTGTATATTTTAGATGTAACCATTATTGCATTTCCCACCATACTAGAATAGTGGAATGATAGATAGATGATAGATATAGAGAAGGAGGGGAGGGAGGGAGGGAGG